GTTTTCAGTGGCCTTTACACATTGGTTGCCATAGTGTCCGCAGTGAAGCGGGCAGTCTGTAGAAATCAGCTCTGGCACTGTTACACAAATGGGCCTTTTACTAACATTTGGTCCAGTGCCCAGAAAGCACAGTTTGCTGGGAGTGTCCTCTTACCTTGTCCACTGGCTGAAAGGACTTATTATCAGTGAGCACCGCTGGACTTGTCACCTCCTCTCCTCTGTCTGGATCTCCTATTCTCCTCCGCTCTCCTCCTCTCCGCTGCTTCCTTTCTTCTGCTCTGCTTCGCCTGCACACTTTTCAATTTAACAGATTGCCATCAGAGGACTATGATCTAAGCAGAGATGTCATATCGTCCGCTGCCATTGGCCATGCATCCCTCAAATCAGTTGTGACAGTTTCCTATTACATTGTTTACCTGCCTGAATGCGGAGGCAGCCGTACTTCAACCTGAATGATCTGGGGGCAACCACAAGACCGTGCCGCACTACTTTCAGCCCATACGTTATGTGGTTTATAATGCCTACTGTTATTCCAGCGAGGATAGCCCTGGGAATGAGTAACAGATGGAGAAGTTATCATGGATGCTCAGATGTTTATGACAAGGCATAAACAGGCCACGCTTAAAAATATACTCACAAATTCAATGAGCTCTGAGTGAATTAACTCTGTCTGAAAATGATAATGTTGTTTGTGGTATAGTTGAAGATGTAATGTAAAGATGGCGACAAGTTGGCTCTGAATTTCAGTGACTATTTTTACAGATCTTTTCCAAATATACAGCATTGTGTTTGGCTGTTTTATATTTTAAGGATTTGGTATGAAGAATCAGCCACTTTATTTTGTGCTTTGCTGGAATCTGAAAATGAGTGAATTACAATAGGGTGCGTTCACACTTCGGCCTGGTTCATTTGGGGGAACTATTTTTCACAGATCTGTATCAAAATATGTAAATTCACTTGAGTGACCAGTGGAAACATTTTGCTTGTTTGGTGATTTTAATGAAGCATCTTTTCTCAAGAGTGAGCCAGATTTGGTCTTGACGGGAATACTACATTGAATGGCCATTGTGAGATTTCTTAAAAACAGAGTAAAATGCACTAAAACAAGCATGGGCACATGTAACTCAGCACCTCTGGCCAAAATATCTGTCCAGGGGAACTTCCTATTGTCTCAGGCTGTTATCAGTGCACACAGGTCAGTGGGTCACACAGATTAGATTGTCAGAAACATGGAAGAATTTAACAAGTGACACAAACAGGCTCCTTGCGTCTACTACCCACTTCCTGCCTGTTTTGTGAATATAATGGTCCAGCACTAAAATGACTCAAACAATCAATTCTATTCTCAAATCTTTATGTTTGTGCATGTCGGCTAAAGCAGGGATACATATTTCAACACAAACATACAGTATTGAACTATGTCATAAAAATCTATAGCTCCTTGCTCTGCAGTTTGGTTATCACTTGTTTTGATGGCTTTTGGCTTCTGCTGCATCGTTAAATCTGCTATTACAGACAGAAAAGGAGAAAAAAGAGGGGTGGTAGTGCAGCGGTTAGAGTTTGGGCATCACATTAAGTGCGATTCCACCTCCAGGCGTGTAGGTGTGTGGAGTTTGCATATTCTCCCCGTGTCTGCGTAGGTTTCCTCCGGGTGGGAGCCAGTGTGTCCTGTGTCTCGCTTCCATCATCACTGTGTTTGCAGAGAATGGAAAAATACCTGAACTCTCAACAATTGTAAAGAGCTTTGGGTGACATTGGTCTGGAAAATGGCAATGTAAAATACTGTGAACGATTTCCCTGGTTTTGTTTTATGGGACATGTGCATGATGAATCAGTTTCCTTATGACTTTTCATACACAAACCCCTTTTACATGTATTTGGAATCAGAAGTTTGTCATATGAGACTTCTTTCAAAAATTCAATTGTATATTCTTAACCCTTTAGGCACCAACGCAGTATAATGGCAACACAAGCTCCTAAATCCAGGACACTTTCTATACAACGACTCAGCTTGTATTGTATTTTTAATATTTATTCAAGTAGTCCACTATCTCTTATTAAGTTACAGGGTGTCTGTCATCTTTTGTCTATTTCACAATCCATTTCTCAAAAAATGCACTTAAGCACATACTAATTCGACAATGTACAACTCTATTTCTATCAATTACCATCATGTAAGAAAATATGTTGACATACAGAACCAAAACATGTGTAGTAATAACATGATCGCTGTGCAGCTCTGTTAACCAAACAGGTTGAGGAGAAGTGAATCTCGTATTTGGTGATAACCTAATCCTTGGTAAATGCCAATAATGTGTTGTTCTAAGACTTATCTCCACATCCACAGACTGAGCTGATGTTGAATTTGTCACATTTTCATATAAACGGAGCAGCACAGACTAAACACAGTGGAGTTGTCAAACCCACTACACACATGGTTCATATTAACATGGGCCAATCCAGAGACTTCAACTATTTGAGCGTGTGTATATTTGTGACGAGAGCAGTGGCATGGTCTGTAATCTTTGAATTTGTGTAAAACTGAAGAGCAAAATTAACATTGAATTATAACTATTTATGATTGGATTAGACTGAGCAGGATTACTTTAGTTCAAACTGGTCGACTTGTTAAAATGTGGCAACGTTGATTTGCGACAATCCAAATGCAAATCAACTATATCTGGTTGTTATACCCAAGATAACATTGTCCCTATTGAATTAAAAAAAACTTCTCTGGAACTTATTGCATGACTCTGATTTAAAATGTCTGGAGACAAAACCTTTGCTCATTTTGAACAATTACAACATTTGCCCATGTACATTTGGAAATGTAAACTTTAAAGCTGGGGTTTTAAACTACAAAAATGAATGTTTTTAAGTTTTTTAAGAAAGTGAAAAAGAGGGAACCACCAATCATCACTCACAGGGTTTTTTCTTAGAAGTATGAAAAGATAATATGAGATGATAAGACTATCGGTTGGGATCAAAAATAATGTAAGTGGATGTTTTGGGATAATTTAAGTTTTTCAGTCATTTCAGTTTAGTTTTTATTGTAATGAGAGATATCTTCAAAACAATAATTCCAACATTTAAATGATTCTCCTCCATTGGTACTATAGTTGCAGGTGTTCCCTGGCGAGTCTTTATCTGGTGTGAACAGAGGCTTCACTTCTCAATGTTGGCGTTTGGCATGAGCCCAGAGAGCAGCTGTCACTGCAACTTCCAGCGACCAACTCTCCCCCAGAGCTGATGAATAATAAAGACATGTGGTATTATTCATGCTGTTGTTGCTGATGCTGCTGCTGTTGTTGATGCTGCTGCTGCTGCTGCTGCTGCTGCTGCTGCTGCTGTTGCTGCTGCTGCTGTTGATGCTGCTGCTGTTGTTGATGCTGCTGCTGCTGCTGTTGTTGATGCTGCTGCTGCTGTTGATGCTGCTGCTGTTGTTGATGCTGATGCTGCTGCTGTTGTTGATGCTGCTGCTGCTGTTGATGCTGCTGCTGTTGATGCTGCTGCTGTTGTTGATGCTGATGCTGCTGTTGTTGATGCTGCTGCTGCTGTTGATGCTGATGCTGCTGCTGCTGTTGTTGATGATGCTGCTGCTGTTGCTGATGCTGCTGCTGCTGTTGCTGATGCTGCTGCTGTTACTAGTGCACTCTGCCTCCAACTAATGATCTCTGAACGAACTGAATGACAAGTGTAGAAGCGCACATACCGTCAACCTGTTTTATAAGTTATTTTCATAATTGTTTTCACCATTTGCTATTGTTTTACTTTACTGGACTCAAAATTATCTGACGGTAGCCACTAATAATAATTATGCTATTAATAATCAATTTAGAGAAATCTATAAATTATATGATATGATTGTTTCTTTTATTTATCTCTATTTACCAGTGGTAGGGCCCAGGTAGGGCCCAGCTCAAAAAGGTCCATGAGCATGTGCGCTGACATGCCTGCAATACCACTCCGGGCCAGTGGGGGGGAGCCAGAAAGAGAATTATCCAATTCTTTTGTATGGCATCTTCTTTCCTCTTCAAAACCTCTTTATAGGATGGTTCAAAAGTCGGCTCTTGGTTCCCCATGTGTGTCAATCCTGAGAGGAGTATTATATTTTTTGGACCATTCTAGTTTAGTCACGGTGAAATTTTGAAGGCACTCGTTAAAGTGATTGTCTGGAGTTTGTCAGAAAGAGAGACAGAGAGGTACTTGATTTGAAAAAAACGACGCAAGCTCCTCCCCCTTCCTTTCTGATTGGTCTACACCTACGTTTCCGTAACACTTTGAAATGTTAATCAGAGAACACATTATACATATACATTATTAATACACATGCACGGAGGTTTTCAGAATTATTTGTGAACGTTTTAATGAAAAAAATATTGTTTTTATGCACAAAAAAAGCGATCGTGGAAAACCAGGAAGTGCTATTATCATGAATTGCACATTATAGGACACATCTGCAGAGGATCTGATTATGGATATAGGTTCAGTATATACATAAGTACTGTAACTCAGCGCGGATGTTCAGAATTCTTTGTTCAGTTTTCATGTAGTTCCAGAGCCTAATAGAGGCTTGATTCGGAGGCTCCGCAAAAACAAACAACTGATCATGCGCGCAGCTGTGAGCATCAGCGCCGATGATTGACAGCCCTTGGCATGACTCGATTGGTTAACCTCGACGGCACCGTGGATTCTGAACTATAGCTAAGAGCAGGGAAGGCGGGACTTGCCCGTAATATTAGAATTAATAAAATGACTTATTTTATATCAATATTTAAGGCCAGGAGGTCAATTTAGCACATTACCTAAAATTTGTAATTCATTTAGAGTTACAGACTATCACTTTAAATGAATGGGGCTAGTGCCAGCTGACGCATGCGCAAATGCGTTTTTTTCAAATTTTCCTGCCTCGAAAGAGCCTTTTGAAAGAGCCCCATTAATTTGTTTCAACGGCGGAGATAGGCTCGGCTACGTCCGTTAATATTTACAGTCTATGATCTTTACGCAGAGAGCGCACCAGAGCGCCCTGCAAACACAAGACAACAAAATACACTAGCACAACAATTAAAAACATGTGAGGTTATTTTTATACAATTCTAAAACCAAACTATTAGAATGTGAAAGTGGCATCAGAGGGCCCGATTCAGTGAATGTTTGAAAATAATATTATTTTGATAAAAGCAAATTATTCATAAGCCCTTTTTCCAAGTGTTTGTACCATCAGTGACAGACTTATTCATCCTCGCTGTGTGTAGTGTCACTGATAATAATTCTCTAGTCACTTTACCTGTTATTTATACTGTTACTGTATTACTACAGTACATATCCATTCATCGGATATTTCTGTCAATTACTAGTCACTTTACCTGCTGATATTTTTACTAATGTTTATTCTGGTCCTATTCTCTGCTGCTACAGTACACTATACAATCTGTAAATACCTCAGAACCAAGTGCAATTATAGAGTTTTATTCTTATTATTTTATTATCTGTTTATTATGCTCTTTTTTCCTTCTGTGTTTCTGCTGTAATGTACGCAACAACGATGCCACTGACATTTCCGGACTGTGGGATGAATAATGGAATATCTTATCTTATCAAGCAAATATTTCTATGATCTTGTGGCCATGACTGTTTATGGATATTTATAAACAAATAAACATCAGTAGTATTTATCGATAAAAAGATATCCTCAAAGGTGTATTTTAAGATATTCTGTTTTTTTATTTTTTTGGTAGTGTATTTGTTCCTATGTTACCGTAATTAGTGGCATTTCCCAGAGTGCAGAGTTCTTTCCCTTCCACACCGGTCGTGTCTCTCAGTGTTGTGCTGTGGGCTGGTGACAGATGAAGCGTGGGCCGCTCCTTGGCTCTGGTGGCGCTGATCACTTGTCGTAGGAGCATTAGCAGCACTGGCCTCTGCAGCTCCCCACCGGAGTGCAGCCCTGGCCCAAAGCCCACACAGAGACCGACCCAGTGTTTACATCAGCCACACTGTTGCTCTGTGCTCAAGACAAGAACACTTTTGCACAATTTATTTATGATATACAACCCCTACTTTTATGTATGATTACCGTCTTTAACCTTTTAATGGTTTCCCTCAACCATTTGGTGTATCACTTTTTGAATCACTATATTTACTTGAAGTATGCTTAGAACTGAAACATACCTCTTTCGGGCATCTCACTTGGTTCTAGACACTTTTTACCATCACACTGCATCTCAACCATTTTATACAGGCTTATAATTATAAGAAAAAAACTATGGGTTTAAAAAAAAAAAACCTTCACAAACTAATTATTTGTGTTATTAGTGCTCCTACATCTTTGAAAATAAAAAAATAAAAAAATCATGGCTTTTTTCAAGGAGTGAAGGTTAAAGGATTAAAACTGTAGGAACTGAAACTGCAAAAATCTGTATTTTAATCAAATCCATGTAACTAGTTCCTCGTACTCACGTAACTGTTTTTACATGCAAGGGTTTTTGGCCCCTGTCACTTCTTTTGATCAGCTTTACCTTTGGAAAAAGAGGGTATACTATCCCTCACCCAGCTTAGCTCTCCGTATGTAAAAGATCAAATGTTTTCTAGTAAGATTAACATTTTATCTGTTGGAACAAACTGTATTTATTTATGAAATAACAAAAAAAGGTATTCCAGCTTTAAAGGGTACATACAATGCACAACAGACTTCTTACAGTTTTTGACAGTATTTTTCCCTTGTACTCACTCAAAGCAGCTTTTTTGAGAAGTTCTCTTGTGGTCAATCCTCTGACCACGGCCACTCCTACTAATTGTATTTAGTTTTTTTCTGATTGTGTGAAATATAGATACCTCGCCTGCCTTGCTCAGTCATTTCTGCGTGGAGGAAAATCTGAGTGTCGCAACTTGATGTATGGTAGAGCGGTGCCTTTGATGTGTTTCATGGACGTCACAGCGTAAATCCAAACTAAGAAACTGAATAAGGAAGTGTGACTCTTTTATACCGTCGCTTTAACTAGGGTTTTATATTTTAATATTTAATACTAATTATATAAACTAAATATTTTACATGAGTCACAGGTGTGAAGGTGGTAAATAATCACATACAGTATAGTATGGATCCAATACTGGACTGTTGTATTTACTTTGTTTATATTAACATCCATAAAAATATATTGTATTAAAAATAATAACTGCAGTAACATAATTTATTGCAACATGCTGTATACTTACCTCAAACAATCTTTTTACAAAGTTGTCATTTTGGAGCCACTGAGTCTGAAGAAAACTTCTGCAAAGATCTTGACACTGGGTTATTATAGTTGATAGATATTCTGAAGTCAGCCAGTTTTAACACTATGATTTGCTATCCCAATTTACTGCACCTTTCACGTGTCCACTACATGGTTGAGTTTTAAAGTGCACTTTTTTTTTATTGTACAATGAGGCCACTGCTTTTTAGATTGATTTTTTTGTAAGCACACAAAAAATGAATACATATTTAATACATATTTAACAAAGGTAGATTTCAGACAGTTAAGAACAAGAACATGCTGGTGACTGAGGTCCAGTTATAGACTGACAAACATACAAAAGACGCCCATTTAGTGTGAGAATGTCATAACAATACCCATAAGCCCAGGTGACATGTGACACAGCGGCAGCACAAGCGTTAAGCAGTTGGAAATCATAATTATTACTACATGTAAAGTCGGCTGGATTGACAGCTCCACAAAGAGGTGAAAGAGGAGTAGGATTGTGTTAAAGAGGGGGCTCTGCTGAAATGCTCTTAGCAGCAGTGATCGCTGGCCGCTCGGCCTCTGAAGATTACTGCGGCAGTATTGACACAGTGGGAGGTCTGTGACAGACAGCTCTCTCCACAGGAGTCTCTTTAGAGTAGGGGCTGCAGACCCTCCAGGGGAGACATACCTGAGCCACTCAAGGTGAGCTGGGCCCTCTCCGGACTTCGCCGCTCAGCAAAACACATGGCGACAGAGTAATAGGCCAATTACCAGTGATTTGTACTGCAGTGGGTGGTGAGGGAGCGCTCTGACCTGTCACTGCCAGACAAATTTGTGGAATCACAATAATGCATTGTCATGGTGGATTTAGGGCTCAGTGGATTGAGTTTCAGCCTGACCATTGTGGGCAGGAAAGTGTCCCAAAACCAAAATCTACCTAAAAAAAGACTGCACTCTGCCCAGGAAAATGGTTTTATATAAACCAAGTAGCTGTTTAATTGCAATTAACAATATCATAAAATCACAATGCAGCATACATGCAATGACAGAGTACAGACTACCATTACACAAGAATACAGACTATGAATGTACATGGATTTACTTTTGTTACACACTGTAACAAAACTGTACATCATGGGGTCATCAACTATATTTGTCAGAGGGCCAGAGTTTTACCAGACAGTCTCCTTGGGGGCCGGACCCCCAAAGAAAACATTTAGACAGATTCAGATTCATTTATTTGTGTTGTGTATCTCAACGAACGATATCTTCTGCCAGAGGAAAGAAGCTGGAACATGGCTTTTCCAAGGGCTAGAAGAGTCTTTGATCATTATCTTTAAATAAAAAATAAAAATCATGAAAATGTTGCAAAGCAAGAGAATGACAGAGAAAATTAGGAAGATGATAATTATAAAGAACAACATGTTATTATTCATTTTTTACTTATAATATAATATATATATATATATATATATATATATATATATATATATATATATATATATATATATATATATATATATATATATATATATATATATATATATCATACGTACATAGTTTATCCTCAAAATTTTTGAATACAGTTGCGGGCCGGATAGAACGCCAGTTGATGATATCAGTGCTGTACATGTTGTCGGATAAGGACCCCAAACACAATATTAATCCCAGTATATGAATAATAAGACACTGCAGATAATGAGATCTTACCTTTAACTAGCCGCTTCAGTGCAGTCAGACACACTTTTCATCCGCCCTGTCCTGCACTAGTACATTAGGAGCTAACCTGTGTCCACTGAGCCCTAATGGTGTCTCTTTAGTGCCGTTTGACCCTCCTGACCTCGCAGTGTCCTCATTGATTTTTTGTGGGATCATGTGCAAATGCAGCCGTTCTCCTTACTTACCCCTCCGATTTTGAGAATATCCCGTCACGCTCCGGACTCGGCCGATGCACAAGAGCAGCGCTTTGTGCTCAGGTGTCCAAACCCCGCATTAAGTGTGTGACCGCGCAGACCCACGCACAATCAGTCTTTACAGTGCGACGTATTGGCATACAGGTCTTCATCCTGTGCTAAGTCTGCCACTGTAAGGGATACCCACAAGTGGTATTTATGGCAGGAAGTGCGGCTTTCTTGTTTAGCGCTCAGATGTGCAGTGGAAATGTTTGCAGGCGCATTAAAAAATACCAGGAATGACCGTTTAGAATGTGTTAGGGTGGCCTCTTTGATTGATGTTAATGCGTATTAGGGTCAAGTGGGAAGCTACTGCGTAATTATGTGATTGCTTTATTAGTTATAATTGTGTTGAATCAAACGCTCACCTTTCAGGTAAGTCAACTTTCATCTGAGAACAACGATGGCTATTCACGATGCAACTTTGGCGACTGCTCAACCTCAGCTTTAAAAGATCTTTTACATGGCAGCCCGACAAACTGCCCCTGATTTGCGCTCCAAATTTAACAACACTGAAGAGAGACCGGGAAATAAATCATCTTGAAAATATGCAAACACTATTAAACGTCTGAACAATGACAATACCCCAAAAGCACCATAGGCTTGTGCTTGGCTGCTTTATGAATACGCGCCAGGTCTATGGGTAAGCAGATACAGCTATAGCTAAGTTAGCATAAGTGAAAGCAGGTTTTGGCCTTTCCAGAAGATAACCTTTAGTTTATCAGAGCAACACATCTGACAGCACTGCTTGACTGGGTTTCTGCAGCCAAACAGTAGAGGAAATGGGATAAGGGCTGTGGGTCAGGGAGGACCAGGACCCTCCCAACCAGCAATACAAAAAGTGTGCCTCTATTTCATTTGTTTTGCTGCTCCGATTTTGAAGCAAACGCAACGCTCACTGTTTTTGGGTAAATCCAAAGAGAAATCTATAACCTGGAAAAAAAAATACTGGATTTTTTTTTTTTTATTCCACCTAATATTGTTAGAATAAATTATGTTATGATTGTAATATGTTTATTTATAAAACCTTATTTTGTGTTAATTTATAGGGACAATTGTGAACCACTATAATATTTATAGACAAGGCTAATTTGCAATATCTGACGGATTTGCCATACCTTTTATGACTTGATTTTGATGTTGGTAATGGGATTAGGCAAGATAAGTGCAAAGCTCTTTCTGTGAGTAAATATGAAAGTGTAAGATATATTTTTTTTTGACTAATGGCCCAAGAAATTACCCTTTTATTATTTTATTTTTTTCATTGTAGTTTTTTTCTGATGCACATAAATGTTCTTCTTCATAGAACGTGTGTGTGTGCGTGCTCGTGTGGGCTTGTGTGTGTGTGTGTGTGTGTGTGTGTGTGTGTGTGTGGGACCAGCTGTCTAAAGCAGCAAGACAAATTTGCAGGTACAAATAAATAAGCCTGAACATAAACTAACATAGGTCTATGTTTTATTCATGTATTTTTATAATTTTCATTTTTCATTGATCTTACTTGTCTGCTACCACTTTTCTGTGTATACTATTGTGACTATTGACCTATAAGATCACGTAAAATGTACAAAAAGAATTTCTTACATGTATATACAACACTAACACAAATAACAAAGTTCTTGTACAAATAAAACATAAAATATGCAGTTTACAAAGACACAGTCGAGCGTTGTGATCTCTCTTAAACAAATATGTCAAACTGCTGAAGGGAAGTAAGTCATATATCCTTGTTTATAACTGAAGAGGTCGCGAATGACTTCCTCCCAGACTCCCATTGTAAATCACTACTGTTGTTTCTAATTGTAACTCTGAGACTGCGGCCCTGAATCAAGTTTATGTTTCAAGTTGTTTGATTCTGTTGTGACTAATTCAAGTCCCAGAAATTTCCCGGTAAATATCTCCAAGCTAATCATCTACATCAGGTGATTCATAAAGGTCCTCAGAACACTGGCGACGTTACAACATGCTCAGTCAAACCCTCCTTGTAATCACAAGTTAGAATCATTTTAGAGGATTTCTCACTCTCAAAATCTGAAATATTTAATACATAACTATAAATAAATTTATGACATAGAGAGATTAGCACATTATTCCCTGCTGTGGAAGCCTTGTTTTGAAAGTCCCCTCACTGTAAATACAGAATAATTGTGTAGTTTGCTCCAGATCATGTATGAAACCTTTCTCTTCATGAAGTAAAATTATCCCTGAAACGACCATGTTTCTTTTAATATAAAGGTCACTTATGTTGAACAATTAACTCGGACAGTAACTTATTCTAACTATATTTTTCCCTAAGGTTTGGACTGTGATTATGGCGCTGTTGTAATATCTGAGAGTTCATTTTTGAAGCCATCAGTACAGTTTTACGTTCATGACAACATACCAGCTCACATCTAAAATAATAATATAATAAATCAGTGAATGGGAGTCAACACTAAAGCCTCATCATGAAATGGTTTCAAAAAAAGAGCCAAAAGTTTCCATTGTCTCGTTTGTTTGCTCTGTGAAGTCAGATGCTGCCGACCTTTATCTCTTGCACCGAGCGGCAACAAAAGCCAAGCGTGTTTTGTTTTCCTCTGCACCTGTCCGCTCACAATGAACTTGTATCGCGGACATCTTGACCACGGAGGACTTTACAATAGTGGAAGTTTTCAAATGAGAAATATTACATTTCAATGCTTTGCTAATTGTTTGTCTTGTCCATTTTGGTCACTCATAGGGTATATATATTATTTCTGTCCTTATTTCTTTGGGTAAGAAAAAATACAAAGCAAGAACCATTTCAGATGAAAATACAGACCAAAAGCGTTTAAGATGAAGTCTAGCACTGACCTTACCCTAACCCTATAGAACACTGATTATAAGAGAAATTCTCAAAACATCCTCAATATTAGCAATCATGTCTATATTATCGATCAATCAAATCTATATTTGTAGAGCACATTTTAAACAGCCTCGGCTTACCAAATTGCTGTACAAATAGTAAAAAACAGCACAATAAAAACAAAAAATAAACAGTATACACATACACAAAGCCAAAGAGAAAAGGTGCGCCTTAAGCAAGGATTTAAAGTGCGCGAGTGATTGTGCGGTTCTAATGTGCAAAGGTAAAGAGTTCCACAGCTCTGGCCCGATCACAGAAAAAGCTCTGTGTCCTCTATTATTGTTTATTTATTTATTTATTACTGGGACAGTGCATATTAATGAACATTTCTGTAAATATCCCAGAATTAGCCAAGCGGCTATTATGCAGATGTTGTGTATTTCTTACATGTTGATATACAGTAAGATTTACAGTATATGAACGACTTACACACATTACAGTATATTTACATTGTAAAGTAAGTGTCTTCATTTATATATGAAGCTCAATAGAGATGGATGTATGTAGATTTTCTTTTGATCTTGTTGATTGATTTAGTGTTTAACTTTTTTTCTTATGGCATTTTTCTGGTTTTGCAAATGAACAATCCAATTGAGCGTGATTTTCAATTTTTGTTGAGCAGAGGAATAAACATTGGGTATGTGCATTCATACATGCTTCTCATCAATCACGCGCTGACATTGTCTGTGGCCTCTTTAAAAGCTGTACAATGCCTATTATTTACAACAAAGCAGGCGTACAATGTAAACAGTGCTGTCGGCATATGCGGCAGATGTATTGGAAGAGGAAGGGTTAGCAGACAGGCGTGTGTCAGTTTACATGTTCCTCCGTCCTCACTCAAACCTGCGGACTTTAATCTGGCCTGCTCCCGACCTGCTGCTGTTCTGTCACTATGACATGTTTAACAAATACT